CCATTACTCAAGTATATCAACATGAACCATTACTGAAGTATATCAACACGGACCATTACTGAAGTATATCAACACGAACCATTACCCAAGTATATCAACACGAACCATTACTAAAGTACATCAACACGAACCGTTACTAAAGTATATCAACACGAACCATTACTGAAGTATATCAACACGGACCATTACTAAAGTACATCAACACGAACCGTTACTAAAGTATATCAACACGAACTATTACTAAAGTATATCAACACGAACCATTACTAAAGTATATCAATACGAACCATTACTAAAGTATATCAATACGAACCGTTACTAAAGTATATCAACACGACCATTACTAAAGTATATCAACAAAAACCATTACTAAAGTATATCAACACGAACCATTACTAAAGTATATCAACATGAACTATTACTAAATTATATCAACACGAACCATTACTGAAGCATATCAACACGAACCATTACTAAAGTATATCAACAAGAACCGTTACTAAAGTATATCAACACGAACCATTACTAAAGTATATCAACAAGAACTATTACTAAAGTATATCAACAAACCCATTAATAAAGTATATCAACACGAACCATTACTAAAGTATATCAACAAAAACCATTACTAAAGTATATCAACACGAACCATTACTAAAGTATATCAACACAAACCATTACTAAAGTATATCAACACGAACCATTACTAAAGTATATCAACACGAACCATTACTAAATTATATCAACAAGAACCATTACTAAATTATATCAACAAAAACCATTACTAAATTATATCAACAAAAACCATTACTAAAGTATATCAACACGAACCATTACTAAAGTATATCAACACGAACCATTACTAAAGTATACCAATACGAACCATTACTAAAGTATATCAACAAGAACCATTACTAAAGTATATCAATACGAACCATTACTAAAGTATATCAACACGAACCATTACTAAAGTATATCAATACGAACCATTTCGACCCCCAGCCTCAGCAATTGATTTACTTCAACTTTAGCTCGCTCACATAGAAGGATAATATTTTCTCTGTGTTCGTGGGAAGTGTAGGCCGAATCGGTGAAATCTTGAGTTCGCTCCAAAACGGCGTCTAAGGCACTTAACAGTTGTTCCCTGAAGGCAGGCACCGCCAACGTTTTCTTAATTCTTTCTACCAATTCCTGAAAAAATACAAAAACAAAAACAAAATACGCTACTTGCGATGTAAGCCTACATATAAACATTTCATCCGTCAGTGCTGAAATTGTCATTGGTCTACGAAAACTAAATCTCTTTGTATTTTGCAACAAACATACAAAATAAATATGTTCCAATAAAAACGACAGGAAATCTGCTTACCTCGAACTTCTTCACAGCATTGTGTACTGTAAAGTATTGGTCCAACTCTTCCAGTTGCCATACGGAAGCATTAGAACGTTTGCTTTGTTTGCTGGTACTACTTCCATTTCTGTGAGGAGTGGTATTTCCTCGGTAGGAGGCTACCAAATCTGGAATAACACCATCTTTTATAACACAGTGAATGAGATCTATAGCTCTTCTCATCTGTAAAAACACCGTGTCACGATTCTCACGTACCGTTTCACAGTCAGGATGGCGTAGACAAGCCTGCAAAAAAAACAGCTTTTTCCTGACTTTGAATTAATTCAGCTTTCACCAATACTGCAGACTTCATATAAGTTTTTTTTCAGTGCACTGACATAAATTTGAAATACTGGGACCTTTTAAATCTTCTCAAGTTAGAGTTTGTTGATTTAAGAGCCTTTCTAAAGGCTTTGGTGTCAAATACAACAGTCTAATATATTTCTCATAACGAATCTTGCCCATAAGTGATAACGAATGACACTGCGGAAAGACACGAGCAGTGATTAACTCTGCTTATATCTTCTACGTTTGGAAGGTGAAGGATCAATAAATAATACGATTTCATCCCAAAATTAATATCTTTCAGATTATTAAAAGTTTTCCACTTTATTTATCAACTACTCCCATAAACTAGAAGATAAACGTTATGATTCTCAAGTAAGATTGTTAAATAATTTTACTTAAATGAAAGTGTGAGATCCTATGAAAATATTCATTTAGATTACACATTACGTATATTATTTATGTATGCATACACAGTTCTCTCTGCTACGAAGATGTAAAACACATTTAAGATCTTCGATTAAGTTATGAATTTTGCGAATTTGGACGCATAATCACCACACTTTAAGTAGTTTAAGAGCAACTTGAAAACAAGCAAAATGATGAAGTTTGGAATATACGTTTCCTAATGATTTGTATTAAACTGTTGAAATTTATATATATATATATAAATCTCCCCCTCCTTGAATTAAACAGTATTTCGCAGTACCTTTGGAGGCAGTTACAAAGCATATCTGAGTCTCAATTATCTCTGCTTTATTTCAGGTTTCTTTAAAAACTACAAAAGTCCAAAACAAAAGATACTTAAAATATTTTAAGTGAATATTTTCCCGTCCTATGGTGGTTCAGCGAAAACCTTCAGGACTTATAACGCTAACATTCGGGGTTCAATCTCCACAACGCAGATAGCCTATTATGCAGGTTCGCAGTGAAACGAACCAATGTCCTTATTTATCTCAATGATGGCTAACTGTTCAGTTTAAGTTTCCATTAAAGTGTAAGTTATGGCTCAATAAACCGATCGAGAGAAAGAAAATAAAACTATAGTAATTAAAAGATTACCAACTGGTTCGTTTTTTATGGTTAGTCTATTAATGTTAATCCTTCTGTCCGTGTAATAAGAATGCTGATAAGCATTCATTATTAGAAACGAACAAAATGGTTGTAGTTCGTAAACGCAAAATACTTGATTCGTTTGTAACGAACTAGAATACTCTCCCACGTTCCCCAAGTCTTTCTACTCGAGTTGGAGGTTTTTATTCTGTCAATTTGTTTCATTTGTAAACTAATCTTGCGTTCAATTTTTACGTGATTTACTAAAGCTATCAGAGCCAATTGTTCGATGATATTGGTACATAATAAAGTCTGAAAGAAAATATGTAACGTCAAATGAGAATACGTCTCTTTCTTATCTCCTTTTAAAGTTACTACTGTTCGTTAATCCAGACAGTAATAATAATAATACAGAAACAAAGAGAAATTTGAACCTTGAAAGCGGTAAGATGTTCCAGCTTCCAATTAAGGAAAAATCTTGGGAAGAAGAATATATACGTGTATGTTCTTGATGGCTTGAATAACATTACACGTGGTATAACTCAATAAGGAGGAACTTCTATAAAGAATAAGTGTTGTCTGAGAGAAGTATAAATCCAAGCAATCAATACTGGGTTACCATGGAAACATTAGGGAATACATAGTTCTTCGCTCGTGTATCTCTTCTCTCAAATTAGATACGGTTGTACTTGTCCACAAACGACATTCAACACCCGACTTCTCCGTCACGTATATAGTTCCATGTTTTAACCGTTATTTTCTGTAATATACAGAGATATGTTCACACAGATCCTGCATCGAATTATTAATGATCAAAGAACGAAGTGAAATACAAACAACTTAGAGCAGTAGCCATCTCAAGACGCAGATCTAGTGTTCATTGAAGAGAAAGATCGTTTTTTTTGGGGGGGGGGGGTTAAGAATTTATAACAAAATTCTTAGTCATTTCTTCTAATCAAATATATCTTTAAAAGTGCTAGAGAAGTTCGATTTCCCGCAGTGGACACAACAGATAGCCTAATGTGGCTCTGCTAGAGAAGTTCGATTCCCTCGCGGTGGACACAGCAGATAGCCTAATGTGACTCTGTTAGAGAAGTTCGATTCCCCGCGGTGGACACAGCAGATAGCCTAATGTGGCTCTGTTAGAGAAGTTCGATTCCCC